GTGGTGCAGCCCCACTATCTCCACGCTGCAACCAACCGCTTCGGAACTCCCCAACCTCAGCCAATGGAACTAATCTTACCAGCAACAGCTCCCATTGGTTTTTTTCCGGTTGTTTGCATAATATTTCATCAAATCGAATTTAAAGTGACAGTTGGGTGGTTGCCAATTTTTTAAAAAAATGCGGGAAGAAAGTCGAATGACATCGGGAGTAAAATCAAATGATGGTACCGCGAGTCTGGTTCGGTGAACAATGGTGGTGTTTCGCTTTGGGCTGTGAACCAGACTATTTCGGTTCTGGTGCTTGCTTGTTCAGTGGTTCGTGTTGAAGCTCGGAGAGAATCACTTGCTGGACGAGCAGCTGTTAGGGAGAAATATCTTATTTTGCATTCACTTGCATTCACTATCGCGACTTTTTTCTGTTACTCAGCCACCGAATGGATTGAGCGCCGTCGGAATAATAGGACGGCAGATGTTTTTATTTAATCAATTATAATTTCAGGCAAATTAAAGAGGAGAATGCTAAATGAAAATAGTCAATTGGATATTTTTAGTGGGAATGATGAAGCGTCGGAATGGATTTTCAGTGAATGGAAATGTGACAATGAAACAAAGCGACATTTCTGTGACGACGATTTCCTTCCTTCGGAACAGTTTATTCTCCCTGAGAAGTTGCAGACTTCTGGAATAAATATTTCATTTCATTTGGTACGCGTATTATTTTAATTTTTCTTTCTTATTTTCTATCAATCAGACTTTTCAATATTTTATATTTCATATATATTTTTACAGTACTTCTCTGTTTTATTATTAAAAGATTACTAATTTATTGCTCATTGCGCCCCACTGCCATTTAGTTATTTGCGAGCTATTAATATGGCGTCGGAGAAGAATGCAAAGGTGAAAGGAACGTAACAAACAATAGCAGTCAGATGGATGTAGTAAATTATTGGTAGGAAGGCGGTGAGCATGAAGATTTGCGTCTCGGTTGCTCACCAATTAATATCAGCGGCAGCGGCTGATTCTTGATGGTGGTGATGTCCTTTAGACGACTTGATTTTTTTATTAACTGAAATAGGATATTCGCAGATGAATAATAAAAGGCAAATTCGAGAAATATTTCTTGGTGTTCGAATGATTTTCAATCGTTTAGTGGACGAGAATTCCGAAGTTTTGATGAATTCTTTGCATTGTCTATTAAAATATATTACAGCAGTAGCTCAGGTTTATTTTTCAGGTTTAATTTAATTTAATACTCTGAAATTCTCTTAATTTTTTATTGGATTTTCATTCTTTTTTGTTGCTTTGAAAAAGTATTTTCAGTTATTCAGTTATTTATCATCGTTTTAATGCATTTTGCCTTATTTCTTTTCTAAAATGTAGTTGCGCATTTAAAAATTTTATCCAAAAAGCATTTTTCTTTTTTAAAAAATAAAATAGATCTTTTAGAAAGGTTATTTTGATTTCAAATTCGCTTTTTTTAAATTTTAATTCGCTTCTCGAACTCGCTTTATTAATTTCGTTTTTTTTTCAAATCACTTTTAAAGCGTAAAAAAATTTTATAATATAAATTTAAAATTATAAAATTTTATAATTTATTTTTAATTTTAAATTTTTAAAAATTTTATATTAAAAATTTTCTCAGCGAATTTCATTTCTTTGCATTTTTTGTGCTTTACAATTTTTAGAATCATGCTGCGCAAAACGATATAATATTTCACGCTATAGCAAAGGAATTTCGAGCATTTCTTATTCATACTGGAACATTAGGGGAATATCTCATCAATGTGAAAAGCTTCACTGTACATGATATTGAAAAAGTAAATCATATTTTTATATTATTAAATGAATGAAAGAAATTCCGCTCTTGTGCATAATTTTAGGTGATTATTCTAGTATTCAGTATTTTATTAATTCCCATAACTTTTGTTAGTCTTTTTTATTTAATAATTATTGTTTGTTTTTAAATGATCTAACCACCAAAAATTTCAGAATTACATTTATCATGCCTTTCTACTGGTTTGGTTGAATTCTGTTCGAGTTTTCGATTCTTCCGGAGGTTAATTTTACCTATTTGCATGTTTAATGTTATATGAGGTGGTTTGCTTTTCAGTTCGTGAAATTGAACTTCTATATCCACCAGATCAAGAGAAGGCTGATTTATCCTATCAAGCTTCGATGCTTATATCATATGGTCTTATATTATCATCCGAAATGATTATTGGAGGTGTATTTTTTTTCATTTTTTTGGATAAAGTATTTTTCTTTCTTTATACTATAATACATTTGAATTTTTGTATGTAATTTATAATTTATAATTTAGCATTTTTAAAGCATATTTTAAAAGATAAATACGAAATTTTTTGGAAAATTTTAGATTTTAAATGATTAAAAAATTCGTCATTCTGATTTATCATTCTGATTATATACCATTTTTATTTTTCAGAAACAAAGATGTCACCTTTCGCTTGCAGATGTGTTTATAATGCATGGTTAGAAATTAATTATAAAATGAAAAATGATTTTTGGATAATCTTCCGCCAACTTTTCCAGTATTGTGTCAGTAAAACTATTGTCAGAATACCAAAGGAAGTTTCAAGTGGTTTGTTGTTGTAACTTAAGCTTTCCTTTAACATTATTAACTTTATTGTTTTATAGATTTATGCAATCATATTTTATCGTAACAAAATCGTTTTAGAATTATTTGTTTTAAGCTTCATTCGTTAATAAAAAATAATGAATAAGGAATAAAGAAAATATAATTAATAATAATTATACTTATAAGTATTATTTCCCACGCCTAATTGGTCTTATACGTTTTTCAGTTATGTTTCTGGAAAAATATCGATACAGCAGCACAATATCACCTGATATTTTTTTAAATGTTCTTTGTGATCATGATTTTTGTTCATTTACTGTTAAATCAGAAAGTATGAATAATTTTCTTGTTGAATTATCCATTAAATTTTTTGCCAATTTTTTCCTTTCTTCACAATTTATTTTTAATTTTTTTTTATGATAAATTATTATTTACAGGTCGACCTAAATACAACGAATTGCTGAGTCTTGTTGTTTCCACTATTAGTAATAAAAATTTTTCTCTAAGGTCCAAATTTTTTTGTTTCATTATCTACAAATGAAGCTTTTTTTGAAGTTATTCTTTTGAAAAATAAATTTTTTGAAGAAATGATGAAATATAGATAAATATTTTTTTGTTTAAGATATTTACAATATATTTTATACGATTTAAGGCAAATTACAATACTATTCAATAAAAAAGAAAGAGAAGAACTGGCGAACAGTGAAACTATTCTTCAGTATTTTTTTGACTCGCTTTGTACGACCATTACTGAACGGTCATCAGTGTTTCTTGCAGTATAATTTTATTTTTTATTTTGATTTTTCAGAGGTTAATTTCAGAGATTCACTGAATACAAAAGGAAATTTATTAATTTATTGTATTTATATTTATCTTTCGCTTTCTTAGGTATATGTTTAGTGAAAATTCTATCAAAAAAATAATTCTGTTTTTAACCTGTATTTCCTTATTCAATCTTCGATTATTAAAACAATATTTTATCAAGGATAATCGCAATGATTGTGATGAGGATGAGGAATGGAATTGTTCTGAAGGCATCAAAAATGTAAATATTTTTTGAATTGGCAAATTATCGATTTTTTGTACAAGAAATTAAATATTTGTACAAAATTTCCTATAATTATAGAACCCTGCGAATTTTTTTTTACAAATCCTGTTGTAGAGTAGCTTTTTTCTATTAAATGGTCAGAAATGGCTGGAATATTTACAACAATTTTGTGATGCAGAATGTGCATTATTTGATGAAGATGAATGGGTCAATTTCATTCGCTTTGCATCAGTTCTTACCTCTAGTATGCTGAATTTTCTTTTTTTGCATTATATATTACATGTATTATTACATGTATTACAATTATATTATATAATTTTACATAATTTTCCGTTTTATTATATTTAAAATAGTAATGATTCTATCAAACTGTTTTTTAATATTTAGAATCAGTAGCCTCATGGAATTCATTCAAATCTCGAGTATTTTCAAAATTTTCGTCTAAAAAACTTCGTGAATTGCCAGTTCATTCTCTTTTAAAGATTTTATCACTCTTTCTTTCTTTAGCTTATTCAACAGGTTAATTCTTTTCATAGTTTATTTATTTTTATTTTCTTATTCTGAAAATTTTCAGAGTTTTGTAACTCACTTATTTGGTCATATAGTATTTATAATATATTGTAAAGAAATAAATAGATACAAAATTTTTTTAGATTTGAGAATATGCACAAAAAAACTATTATCTATTGTGAATGGAATATTTGATTTGTGCGATAAATCTCGCCGTAGATTTCTTATTGTGGCTCTTCACTGTTTAATTTATTTGCATCGTTCGAGAGCTTTGGATGATTCTATAATTAAGGATGAATTGCTTAATTGTTGGTTTCTAATTCAGTGCAGTTTTTTATTTTTAGTCGGTGTATTTTTAACTATATGCTTTTTTATTCCTAATGCATCTTTGACATATTCAAAATTATTGTTTTAGTGATTAGACGATTGGATGCGAAAAATAATTCTGCTTTGTATTACGAGACTTGTATTTGCATTGGTCCAAGTTTTTTAGAGGTTTTTTTCTTCGCTTCATTTTGATTTTGAACATATGAAAATCGTTGTTACCATTTTTTCTAATTTTTATTTTCTAGAAGTTTACTTCTAGGAAAACCAAAAAAATTTTCTTTAAGTATGACTTGTTGGAGCATTATTTGCCATATTTAAAACCATCGCACATAGATAAATTATTTAAAATGGCGATAGATGGAAAATTATGTACTGATGCGTTGTGGAAAGCAGCATTATCTCGTTTATATAGCCCAAGGCCGATTTGTGCCATCAGATACATTGTTTTCCAGGTACATCTTTTTGCTTTCCTTTTTATTTTTTTTTTATTTTAAGTCAATTTATTAACAAAATATTAATATGGTTTTGTCATTCGTTCAAGGTGTGAAAAAGTGAGATTTTTAATAACAAATAATTAAAGAATCATATTTACCAAAGTTATTAATTTTCTTCGATGAAAAATTCTTGGCCTCATTTTTAAAATTTCTTTTACAGTTTTAAAATAAATTTTATAGCTTTCCAAGAAGAAACCAGAAATTGCGAAACATGATATGCGCTTTTTGAGCATGCGGTTTTTATCTGAAAGAAATCTCTTGTTTTCTGCATCGTGTTTCGTAAAAATATTTGCTGAATATTTCCAAGAAAGTTCGATGATTGAAGAATTTGTACCTGTTTGGCTCGTCGTTAATATGATTAATACAGAGGATGAAGGTATGTTCGGACTTCGAATTTGCGAAAATAGGTTCTTTATAGTCAAATTATTCTTTTATTTTGTTTTTTGTTTTTTAGACATGGTTCAATCTTCCAATTTCGTTTACAACGGTCTCAGTGCATTTTTTGCTCAAAGGGGTTTTAATATAATTGATAAAAAGTTAAATTATGTATCAGCAATAGAAGTTTCTCAGTGGATTTTTAAGGTTGGTAAACCAGATATTTTTTCATGGCTAAAATTTCTTAAGGTCAAGTTCACTATAACTTTTTTTTGCAGGTCATTGGTGAAGACTGCAAAAATCGTATATGTATATCTCAGTGGATAAATCTTTGGATTGATAAGATTGTTAGTGTTCTTACTCATGTTCTTCCAGATGCTCAACAAGCTGCAATCCAGCACAGTTGTCGTATATGTTCTTTCATATTCCTTTACTGCGCTCCTCTTATCTTTAAAACTCCTTCAGAATGTATTTTCAATCGATCACCTTTCGTTTGCTTGTGCAAATTATATCTGCAAAATTTGGTGAAATCTCTTGTTTTTTATCATTTTTTTCGATTTTTTTTATCTTCAAAACTTATGTATATCTCGGAAGTGCTTTCAAATTGAACTATTTTTGGATTATTTTCCTATTCAAATCTAATGAATCTCATTTTTTCAGATATATCAAAATTTGCCTGTCGATTTGATCGAGGATATAATACCAAATTTTATTATCGGCTTAGTAAAATTACCCATTTCAACGACACCATATCTTTTTCGGCTTCTGATTGATGCTATTGAAAGATTTTCATCAAATTTTTTTATCAATGAAAAATTGTGCGAAATTCTGCAACCGCATTCAGATTTGATTCAAAAACTCCGATGTACTTCTTCACGTGATTCAAATGTTCACAAATTTATTTCTTCTTTTTTTGCATAGCTTTTCCAGTTTTTAATTTCTTTATCAGTTTGTTCTATAGAAATCCTATTTAACTATAAATATTAAGATTTTCACTGTAGTCTCTATTGTCTCTATATGTTCATTGCTGAAAAAACATAATTTTTATTTATAAATATATTTATAAAAATATTTCATTTGCTAGAAATAAAGGGAAAGGATGTGGTTGTATTTATTTTATTTGAATGGTTCATGTATTTATACATGTAAGTTATTAACAAACATTGTTATTAACAAACATCCCTATCAGTTTCTATCGAGGTTTAATAAGATAATAATGATCTCGACTATTTTTAAGAATTGTTTCGTTTATAATTTCTTTTTTATTAAAATATGCATCTTCCTCGAAATCAGTGCTTAAATTAAAATTGGTCCGTGCTTTAAATCAGTGCTTAAATTGAGAATCTGCCCACCCACACCACTGATAACAAGGAGGGTTTCTAAAATAAAATTAAAGAATCTGGCATGTTTAAGTGTTGATTCTCTCTTCTGCACAAATGCATGTAAATGCATTTTTTGTTTAGTATGAAATTTAACACATTTAGCTCTCTCTGTTCCTTAGGATTCTGATCCATCACATTCTGGTATATCCAAATGGTATATCTGTGTTTGTAGAACGTACCTTAGGGGTGGATTCTCCTTTCTCCCTTATAATTTCCAGAGAGTAGTGGAGGAATACTGGCCTAATTAATTCTTTACCATTGGCTAATTTTATTTTTGATGTCTTATGGGGGTTTTTCCCTGAGATTCATCATTTGTTCCGACGATTCTAGCCAATTGCCTGATCCCTTATTTACTTTATAAAACGACCTTATTTGCTTTTGGGCTTTTGTCCATACGGGGATTGGGATGCTGACGACTAGCCATTTCTTGAATAGGTAGGTTGGTGTAATCCTGCCGTCACACTTCCTAAAATTTTTGGAGTAATTTTTCGGATTCTTTCCACGTTTTCAAGAGCGCATCTCTTCGACAACTTTCCCGTCTGCCATACTCTTCATCCTCATCCTTATTCATTAGTAACTGGTTTCCTGTTCTCTGCATTCCAATATTAACAATGTTTTCCACTTCAATTAATAGCGTTCTCAATTCTTCAATAGTAATAGCAATTTTCTACCTATCATTTTTCTCATGGCCGATTTCGTTGTACTGATCATTCGTTCATAAACTCCTCCCAGATAGCATGTGGTATAAATTTCCAATCCACATTGCCTTCCACCAGTTGGGAGCTGGTAGTTTGGCTGCTGATTCGAAATTTGTTCGTTACATGAGAGAATCATATAATTGGTGGACCCCACCTGGCTGAAAATCTACGAATTATATGGATGAAGGCAGCTGGTGGTGAATCCTAGACCACTTCTAAATATATAGCTCGAGTTGTCAAGCAAGTGATGAGAATTGCCCACGATCGTGGTTTCTTTCCGAACATTAAAAGGTCCAAAAAAGATCTATTCCGAAATTTCGTTATTGTTGTATTTATTTTATAGACCGGCAAATTGGGTATGTTGGGTTGTTTAAATGACCTAGCAATCCATCTCTTGCAGCTTCATGCAATTTTTTCTCATTGCGTTTTTCACAATCTGTATGCCCTTCGAAATCCAATACTTTTGTCGCAGTCGTCCTAGTGTGTAGGCAGTACTACTGTGGCCATGAATTGTATATGAAGATATAAGATAACGAACTCGGTGATTCTGCTCTTTCGAGGGAGAAATATTACATCATTGGGAATACAACCTTTGTATCTGTAGATATTATTCTCATCCTTAAAATCAGTGAAAATAAAACAAAAGTATTTTCGTTTTATATACAAGATGCTGATATTTATTTCGTTTTATATACAAGAAAATATCTATTTTTATCAATTCATCAAAAAGTTGCCGGTTGAGGAAATGCTGGACTTCAAATACCTTGGAGTCACTCTCATCCCAAATGGTCAGGCAAGGAATGAAATCATAACCCCGATAACGGCAGCAAAAGTTATGTTTTTCCGGTTGAAACCTTTATGGAATCGTCGCGAAATCATCATAAAAACGAAAATACGCGTCCAAATAGTTACAATCCGTTCGATCTTATTATATGGCTGCGAAACAATGCCAAAGAGAGTGGAAGATATTAAGAACTATTAGCCTTTGAAACCACTCATTTCTAAGATATATTCTACGGATCTGCTGAACAGATGAAATCGCACATGATTATATCCATCTTTGCTCAAATACCACTTGCATTAATAATGTTATTACAGAGTGTCGCCTTCGCTGGCTGGCGTTCTTCGTCGTCCACTACAGGAGTGACGCATATTTCGTTACTTGCTAAACCGTGTGATGGATGGCATCAAAAGCGAGGTGGGCCAATCAAGACCTAGACTGATACACTCAGGAAAGATTTTGAACGTATATATAGAGGGATCAGCGATATATATGGACTTAGACGATGAAAAAAAGGAATGGCTTCTATTATTACTAGCGATGGCATCAGACCGGGCAGCTTGGAGACGTCTTACTCTTGTAGCCAGCCGAGCCAGCCGAGCCAGCCTAACCAGCAATGGTGAGAGTTATTAGAAGAAAAAGAACTAGAAAAAAGAACTAGGCGAGATCAATCACCTTTATCCTTTCAATCTCTTCAGTATTTTTACTTTTAACTTGCTTTCTTGAAAAATTTGTGACGGTTTGGTGAACAGTTCATTGTGGGATTCCTTTAGCCAATTTCCCTGATTGTAGCTCAGCCAATCAGGACTTTGCCACCACAACGAAGATTTCAATTCTTTTGTAGACGTTCTTCTTGACGCTTTATCTGCTGGATTATCTTTTGAGGGAACATATTAAATTGTCACATGTTGGTGTGTTCTGCTTTCTTCTAAACGATTTTGGACAAAATGTTTCTGCTCATTATCATTTTTAATCTAATCGATGACAGTTCTGCTACAGACTACAGATATTGAGGTGTCTCCACTTTAATTCGATTTGGTTAGCGATGAAATCGATGAATCTACAACAAATAAGAATAGCGAGTAATTCTAATCTTGGAATGGAAATCTCTTTAAGTGGTACCACAATTGATTTTGGCATTGATTCAGGCGATACCTGACGATACTGTTTAATAACAGTTATGTAGGCTACGATGGCGTAAGCCTTTTCCGATGCGAAATAGTGAATTTCTTTATTGTGTTCATTCCCACACAGAATAAAATTTGAAATTCAGTGGTAGAACGGTATGTCGTTTCATATGAGAACGAATTTCGTATTCGTACTGTTATTATTTCAGTTCCGTGTCCCTTAAGTAATGTAACTTTTATCGCAAATAGTTTAGGATGAGGAAGCAAATCCATTTGCATATCCCAAATAATTCTATGGGGGTGAGAGGGTTTAATCCAAGTGATCAGTATGTGGCCAATGAAAATGATACGTGTCGTCCGAGAAGAAGAAACTTAAACTTACAATATAGTCTTAATCGCAATTTTATGGTTTTTTATTTGTTTAAGCCTTGTATTAACGTATAAAATTTTAACATTTTGATTTATTTGATTTATTTCAAAGGCAAATATTTCGCCTTATCTGAAAATTTTATTTTAATGCGAACAGCTGATTCTGATAAAATATCGATTTTTATCAATTCATTCTCGGTTAAGGAAGCCCGACTTATCTTGGATGCCACTCTAACTCCAAATGCCAGGCAAAGGATGAAATTATAACCAGGATAACGACAGCTAGAAACAGATTGATGAAATCTTTACGGAACCATTGCGAAATCGCAATGAAAACGAAAATTCGCGTCTATATAGCTGCAATTCGATCTTGCTATATGGCAAGAGATGAGTGATGAAAGTGGAAGACATTAAGAAGATATAAAACTCTCTGCCTTTAGCGACTCATGTCTAAAATAAATTTTACCGGTCCACTGAGCGAATAAAATCTCATATGACTACTTCCACTTTATAAGTACCATTTGCATTAATACTACCATAGAGCGTCGCTTTCGCTTGTTAGGGCACATTCTTCATCGCCCAACACGGAAGTTGACGTATTTTGTTACTTGTTAAACCCTGTGATGGATGGCGTTAAAAGCGAGAAAAGCCAATCAAAACCAGGACTCATATAGTTAGGAAAAGTTTTGAACATATAAGGGGACCAGCGATATATGGACTTAAATGATGGAAAAGAAATAGCTTCTATTACTACTAGAGATGGCGTCGGACCGAGCAGCTTGGAGACTTGGAGTCTTACCTTTGTAGCCAGCGGAGCCAGCCTAACCACTAATGATGAGAGCTATTAGAAGAATTTCAGCTGAAATACAAATACTGAAGTACAGATACAAATACAAATACTGATGCTGAAATACAATATTTATAAAAGTTTGCATAAACTAATCTAAGGCGTAAAATGGTGCATATTTTATGGCACGTTCGGTGAATGATTACCGCATATCTATCATAAATGAATCGAAACGATGGGCGGGTTTTGGAAGAATTTCAAAAAATTTATAATTTCGACTTATTTCTCTGGTAATTCCGATTTCTAAAAGTCAGCCGAACAGAATGTGCCAATTTTGATATCATTTTATTTTTTTCGCTTTTGTGCGAGTAGCGAAGTTTTCTGTCGAAGTTCTCGTAATTTATTTGCATTTAGCGAAAGAACAATCTTGTAAGAATATTTCTGCTTTAAATCAATTGTTTGTATTTTGTTGATTCGTATTTTTCTTAATGTATTTACTAAATTCCCGAATTGTTTGATTTGGTTTCAGTTATTCGGTACAAATTGCGTTGCAAGTCGCATCACTGCTGAAAAAGCGGTTCCAGAAGATTTTATGGTTTCGGCTTAAATTCCTTATTTGTTTTTCCTCGATATGAATTATATAAAAAATAATATAAAAATAAAACAATAGAAGAATCAATTCCAGTAGAGTCCAGTAGAGTTACATTGCAGCTCGAAATCAAATAAGCAGAGAACGATAGAACATAGAATTTATAGCTATGATGTACGTTGGCATACAATAATAAATGATAAAGTGATAAAGCTGATTATGTTTTGTTTTTAGATAATATAAGAGATAGTTTATGTTGGAGAAATGGTGAATTCACTTCGAAGCAAGTGCCCATCTATTATATTAATATTGTTGCGGAATTTTTCAAATTGTTCATTGCCAAGACTTAGTGTTTATGATGCGAGAGTATTTCGAGATCCTATTGTTGATCCAGAATTGGTTTTTATTTTCCAGATTTTATTTAAATTTTTATTTGTTTGAACTCACGCTTCAATGCTGTTTTTCGCAACGCACAATTTGACGGCACATCGTTGGCATCGTTTCCTCCCTAAAAATTGTCATTTTAAATTTAAAAAAATTTTAAAGACTCTCCTTCAGTTGTTTTATAAATGTACCTAAAACGATAGTTTAACGATAGTTATTATTTTACGGTATTTGCATTTACAATTTTCAAAAATCAAGAATCAGCTGACACACCATGTTTCGTCGAACTTCATTGTTGTGAGGTAACGGCGAAAGCAAAAGAGAATAGGATGACCCAGTGGGTTGCTGCTCATTTCGGAGCGCCGATGTTGAGTTTCTAGCCCGGCTGGATCTGTCTTAGAAAAATCCAGGTGATGCTGGCGATTCATCTGTAGCTCTTCCCTCATGTAACTCTCTGGCAAAATTTATTTGATCTTTGAGATGCCAAAAGTCAACGGGGCAAGCAGCGGTAAGCAACAAAAAAAAATTATGAATTTAAGCTAAAACGGCCGTTAGATCCAAATGACGATCGTAATTTTTTATATATTAAACCAATGGAAGGTGATGAATCTCCTGTCTTTTATCGTGATAAAATTGTGGATAGGATGGTCAATATTTTTACGAATAGTGGAAGAAAAAGTATGTTCATTTTATAGCATTATGTAGCATAATACATATGCATTATGAAAAAAGTTTGAACCAAAAAAATAAATCATCCAGCAATAACCTGTAATCAATAGTCAGTTAATTGATTGAATTATGAATGGATAATTGTTCATTAGTAAGGTAATAAAGGCCCATAAAATGGAAATATTTTAATTTGATAGTTTTTATTATACATCAAATTATCATTTATTTCTAATTTATTTACATTAAATTAAAATACCAGTGAAATGGAAATATGGTTTCATTTTTCATTCCAACATAATAATTTCCTTTTTTTTTATTTGAATAATGCAGAATTGGTGAGAGAAGCGTTTCAAGAAGCATTCGAGACGATTAAACGGTTACAATATAAAGCTTGGTGTAAGGCTAATGAAGAAGATAAGAAAACTATTGAAATAGATCCATTCCTTATCACGCGTAAAGCCGTAAAGAATTGTACACCATTATTGAAACTATGTCCTGTTACTCGAGGTTTTTCTTATTTTCGCTGCGATTTATTCGTAAATTTTGATTCTATTTTTTAGAGAATTTCTTGTTTTTATTGTTTTATTTATTTAAAACTAGAATACAGGCGATCTCAAACATTTTTAAGTCATAAGTTGTTTGGTGATCTGGTAAAGATTATTAACCTTTTGAAACATTTGAATCTCTTCTTCGAATTTTCATTTACACGCTAAAATAAAGTGCAAGGAAATGTAACCGAAAAATAATTTGAAAAAGTGTGATTTCTTTTGGCTTCAAGCGCTATTAACAGTGCCGTTTTTGCTTAGTTGCGAAACACGAAATACATACTTAATTTCGATTAGAATTTAGTAGAAATAAAATATGAACTATATATAATTAAACATGGACCTGAAATCTATGAAATTTATGAAAGATTTTTGATTCAAAAGACGCGTTATAATCCCGATTTATTTTCTAGAAGTAAACTCATAAGCGCTTGCATGGTGAATGAATTCGTGTCTCCTCCATTTTTACGAAAATAAATTAAGAATTTTTTTCAAATTCTTCCCTTTAACTCATTAATTTTTATTTTTAGGTGGAGTAACATACCAAGTGCCATCCCCATTATCTGAAAAAGAGGCTGAATTTCGTGCAATTCAGACGATGCGGAATATTATACGATCAAAATGTCGGCGTGGCGCCGATCACTTCCCAAAACTTTTGGCTGCAGAAATCCTTGCGGCTTATAATAATGAAGGTTTTACGATTCAAGCTAAACAAGAACATCACAAGTTATGCGAAGCAAATCGAGCATATGCACATTATCGTAATCGATAATGATATTTATACTTATTTATACCTATTTATACCTATATATTTATACTAATTTTTGTTTCTTAATTTCTTGTAAATTTGATATGTTATATGGAATAAAGTTTTCTTAATGCAGCTGTTTTAAAAATATCATGTTGCTATGAAGGATTGCGTTCAATACTTCATGCTTTTGCAAGGTTTAAATATAAATATATATATATATATATTTGCGAGTTCCATTCAAGTGAGGAACAAAAATTTATAGTTATCTGGAATGGGAACTGAAATTCGATAAATATTTTAGATCAAAAGATGAGTAGTACAATATTAAGCGACTTCGAGCAGCAATATTCGGTACAAACTGCTGAAATAACAGCTCGTATCGGCCGTTTGCAACATTTGAACAAAACTGAGCAAATCACTGGCATAAAAGATGTGCAATGTCTTCTTATGGAAGTTGAAAATCTTCTCGAACAAATGGAAATTGCTGTTCATGAACTGGATCCGTCAAGGTTTCATATGAGTTTTCGTTCTCATTAATTTTTATTTTTAGGTGGAGTAGCACCAAGTGCCATCCCCATTATCTGAAAAAGAGGCTGAATTTCGTGCAATTCAGACGATGTGGAATATTATACGATCAAAATGTCGGCGTGGCGCCGATCACTTCCCAAAACTTTTGGCTGCAGAAATCCTTGCGGCTTATAATAATGAAGGTTTTACGATTCAAGCTAAACAAGAACATCACAAGTTATGCGAAGCAAATCGAGCATATGCACATTATCGTAATCGATAATGATATTTATACTTATTTATACCTATTTATACCTATATATTTATACTAATTTTTTTTTCTTAATTGGCAATTACCACTCCGTTTTGGCTGAATATTAGGAGTGATGTAATTTCATCAGAGAATAATTGACTGAAATACAGCAGTTGCCATCCCCAGCATCATCCAGGTTTCATATTTAATATGAGGCTTATTCCATCAGAATACAAGGTTCAAATCCATGTTGCCTGACATTGACCAAGTGATAAGTGGTAAAAAATAATTTTATCATACATTCAGTGTAGCAAAGTTCTTGTTAAAATAATATTAATTGACCGTATTAAAGGTTTATTTTGATCAATCTTTTTTAAAATATAATTTTACTTGTTTATTTTTAGTGTTGAGCGGTCGAAATATGATTTAAGAGTTAAAAGTTATCGAAATGATAAAAAGCAGCTTGATGCTGAATTAAATAAAGCTGTGCAAAGGTTGCGCAATACTGTAGATCGAGATGAACTGTTGGCTTATGATAGTGAAATCACATTAAATCAGGTAAGTTGTTTTGATTTATTAATTAAGAAAATAATTGAATAAAAATCGACTAAGTAAGTCAGATCTGCCAAAAATTCCAGTTACCTGCTATTTTTTGTGAAATTTTCGATCTCAATTTTGCGGTATTTTTATTGGTAATTTAATTGGTAATTTAATTTTATCTTCAAAGGCAATTTTTCGATTAAATTTAAGCAAGATCATTTGATTGAAAATACAGAGCGTTTGGAACGAACGTCTCGACGGCTTCAAGATACTTATAGACTAGTTCTGGAAACTGAACAGGTTAGCGTTATAATTGTTATCCAAATCGCTTAAGAGCTTTGTCTTTTTTTTCAAATTTCAACCTTCAAAAATGTTGAGGCATCTTATTAGATATTAACATTTATTTTTCTAACAGTGCTCAGCATTTAACCAATCCTCTTTAGAGAGATATTTATTTGGAGATACAAATTCTGATAGCTCTGCCCAATTTTTTTTTTTAATTAGCAAACTTACTGTAATAAAAGGGAAACTTATGGACTTATACGCTTAGAACTTATGGACTTGAGTTATATTTTTTATTATCGTTAGATTGGAACCGAAGTATTAGAAGATTTGAATTCACAACGAGAAACTTTATCAAGATCTCGAGATCGAATGCGTCAAGCAAATACTGATATTGGTCGCAGTCAAAAAGTCTTGTCGCAAATGATTCGGAGGTTACATTTCGAATTTTTGAACAAATATAAAATATAATAAAATGTAAAATTAAAACTTGATATTAAGCAGAAAATTACTATATAATATTCCTTTCCTTCTATATTAATGAAGAATTTTCAGTTTTACTGGGTTTTTTTCTGCAGAATTATCAAGAATAAATTCAATGAAATTTTATGCTTTTGAAAATTTAATACTGCATTATACTGGTTAATTTTCTAGCAGTATTTTCTATTTGTTTCATATTAAACCATTTTTCAGGTTAATTCAAAATCGATTATTGCTTTTAATAATTGCTATATTCCTTCTATTCTCACTTGTCTTTCTGATTTATAAGTCGCTGTAATCGTTAAATGTAGATATATTTCTTTATGCATTTTTTTCTTTATTTTTCTATGCATATTTGAATATGAACCCATTTTTTAGGTGTAAAAAATAAATTGTGCTAAGTCTGTAACAATAAATCTGGTTAATCTGTTCTATCAGTTCCTAGCTATTAGTTGAATTTAAAAAGGTATATAATAGGTTTGTGAATTTCTCCATTATATTATCATAATGGACTGTCCCATGGATTCTTTTCGAGGAATGGTTTTAGGAATATGAGGAAATGGGATAGATTTTTCTTGTTGATATCTTAGTGGCCTATATATTGTATATTTGTTGATGGTATTTGCTTATGATATATGAACTTTAAGATTGTTTTTGAACCATCATTATTTCATTCCAAAGAATCGGTTTATTTAGATTCCAATAGAAAATAAGTTTTATTTTTGAAATAGTGGTTATAATTAATATTCACTGTTAAATATTTATTCATAAATTTGATGTGAAATTAATATTTTAAAATGATCGCATATTCCTATATCGTTATTGCTTTATAACTTTTTAATTTTTTGTTCATTCGTAGTTAATATTCAATGAATATAATGAAATAAGTGATAAATCGCCGTTTTTTTTATTTTTTCTTTGCTAAATTTGTATAAAACGAGCCATTAATTGTGCTATTAAAAAATGAACATGCAATCCAATTTTCCGTAAATCAATTTTTTTTAACTTCATTCTAAGGAAAAATTATAGCTGTAAGCATTCAAGCATTTGATGAAAGCCCACAAAATTAAAGGGTTTTATGGCATGAATATTGGCATGTATTTAATGCTGAAAATTGTTGTCGTATGACGTGTTTAACCAGTTTTTAGCCAATAGATAGACCAGCAAATGTTGTTTTTTATTTTTTTTTGATTGATCGGATTTTGATGAAATTTTTTTAGCTGTCTGTGGATTAGCCGGTTGAATTTTTGCTCGCTTTTTCTATTAATTTCATTGCATAATTGTATTTGCAAATATTAATGCTAATAAAATTTTTTAATGATTTTATGTATGTAAGTAAATTGATTCTCTTAATCGAATCCGAAAATTTAAATAAACCATAAATTAGTCTTCGTAAACTAATTCGTTTAAATCATTCAGTTCTAAATTCTAAAAATGTTTATAAATCAAAGTCTTTTAATCTTTTTCTAATCTCTAAAGTTTTGTTTTGTTGAAATTTACATTTCAAACAGTGATAATTCACTATAGTTATGAGGAATTTGATATATTCGTCCATATCAGATGGCAATAATGCATAAAATTCGCATGATTTGTCGATGAATTACGAATTCATGTGTGGATAGGCTGCGTAGTCAAGTAAGCAAATTAGTGGGTTTCCGGCTGTATTTTCATGGGTAATATTTCTTTCGTGGTTCAATATTCGCTAAAAATTTTTCGAAGATTTTTCCGCTCTTTTTTCTTCTTTCAAAATCCAACAAATTTTCATTTTAAATTAACCAATAATCTTATGAAAAAATTGAGATTTTTTTCGATTTTGTAACCAGTAATCGTAAAATGGATAAATATACCAATAAATGATTCGTAAAAACAGCAATCATAAAGAATAGATTCAAATAATTGTTTTCCCATAATTTCTTCCTTAGTTTTCATAAGTGATTTCATAAATAAGTGTCTACAACAATCAAACTTTGATTATAGTCGATCGAGCAATCAACGAACACACCGACCGACCGACCGACCGACCGACTGACCGATCAACATAACATTTAGACGCATAATTGAGCAATTTCGACGCAAACATCGCAAAATTTGCGAAAAAATGAAAGAAACTGCTTTGTTAAAAATGGTCAGAGAGAGAATTTTTTTCAGCTTTTTCTCAGAGTTTTTTCCATTCTTTTCTCACAGATATGTTTAGTTCAAAAACTTAAATTTGGCAAATAAATTTTCGACGAACATTTCGCATTTTTCTTTTTTCAGAAATATTTTTCATTTATTTACGCAAATCAAACAATAGCAAAATAAAAAAATTTTAAATTTTAATTTTCAAGTTCAGTTTATGCGAATTGTGAATTCGTATTTTTTTCTAAAGGGAATTTTTCTTTAAATATTCTTAAAAATATATAATTTTCGCGCTCATTCTTATCAAAACAAATCAAAATTTATCGAAATATTTTATTTACTGGAAAAAAAATTTTGGTTTGGTTCCGCTAAAATTTGTCAATAATTCGTGTAAAAGAAATTTTCGTGAATCCTTTCCGTTACTGTTTTGAATAATCCCATGAGAATTAACGAAGAAATCGTATTCTTAAAATTTCAAAATTTTTTTAAAAAATAGATATAGGGTGAATGAACAGTTTTAATAAGAAATAAAGAAAATTTTGGAAGATAAAAATCCTCAAAAATGTAAAAGAAGTGTATAGTTAATGGAAAGGGAAAGGAGTGAGATTTGGGCGTTAAATGATTGTGATTAAATGATGAATATTTGGCTCAAAGAAACGAAAAATAAATTCTTAAGAAAACCCGTATTAGCCATAAAAATTAAAATTAAACAATCATTCGGAAAATTTTTATTAAAATATATAAATCATTTGCGAACAATTCCACTATTTATTTGTTAGTTATTCCTCATATATTTTTGAATTTATTGAACAACTTGTGTACTTGTACTTATAATAATTAGTAATAGTAATAGTAATAATAATAATAAATAATTATAGTAATAATAGTAATAAATAATAGTAACAAATAATAATAGTAACAAAAATAATAATAAATAAAAAGAATAGAAAATAATAACAATAATAATAATAGTAATAATAAATGATAATAAGAAATAAAACAATAATAATAGTAATAGTAATGATAATAATATAGTATATAATAATAATAATAAATAATGAAAATCAATAATAATAAATAATAATAAGCAATAATAATAATAACATTAAATAATAATTCTTCTTCTAATAATTTACGTCATTTGTGGTTAATCTGGCTCCGCTGGCTACAAGAGGCTATAAGACGTCTCCAAGCTGCTCGGTCTGACGCCATTGCTAGTAGATAGAAGCCATTTTTTTTTCATCGTCTAATTCCATAGATTACTGGTCCACCTATATTTTCAAAATCTTTTCTGACTGTATCAATCCAAGTCTTGATTGGCCCTCCTCGCTTTTGACGCTAATCATCACAGAGTTCAGCAACTAGCGAAATATGCATCAACTTCTGTGGTGTGCGACGATGAATGCGTCCTAACCAGCGAAGGCGACACTATGTGGTAACATAATTAATACAGGTTGGCCATGTTTCGCAGCAATATAGCAAGATCATGCGAATTGCTGCTATATGGACACGAATTTTCGTCTTCATGGTGATTTCGCAACAGTTCAATAGAGATTTTATCAACCGGAAAAATACATTCTTAGCTATCGTTACAATTTCATCCCTTATTTGGCCATTTGGGACTAGAGTGAATCCAAGGTAAAGTCAAGCACCTCCTCAACCGGCAATGAATTGATAAAAATAGATATTTTATCAGTATCTTGCACATAAAACGAAAAAATTTTCATTATTTGCATTTTGCCTTAATTATCAGCAAAAAGGGCTATATCATCAGCATATTCAAGATCTCTGATACGATCCTCTGGACTTATTTAGACCTCTTGAGTGCCGACAAGCGGTGTCCATTATCCAGTCTATCGTATAGCTGAATAATGTAAGGAAAAGGACACAATCTTGACGAACATAAGTTTTTATTTCAAAGGATTCTGTCCCAAATACACAGGTCTGTGCTGACGTATGCTCATGAAATGCATTTATGAGTCGAATGATCTTCTCTGGAACACCGTCGCGTGCCATCATCTTCCAAAGCATCATTATATCAATTGAATCGTAGGCAGAAATCGATAATCGAAATCAAAATCGATTAAAAAACACGTAAAACACGCTGAGTTGCAAATATTTGAAGAGATGTTTCAAAATCCTTTTTAATGTGAATATCTGGTCAGCACAACCACGCCCCAGTCTGAATCCAACTTGATTAGGGCGCATCCTGCTGTCGCGTATTTCCATAAGGCTATTGAATAAATGATAGTAAGCAATAATAATAGTAACAATAATAAATAATAATACGAAATAACAATAGTAATAATAATAATGGCAAAACAGTAGTAACAATAATTATAATGAAAATAGTAATAATAATAAAATAATTAGATATAATGCAACCCCTTCGTGAAAAGGTTTTAAAGGCTTGAAAATCTCCCTAAAGTTCATTTTATTTCTTATTTTTTCATTTCTATCGTTTTGCAAGCTTTTTGGAATTATCTTCTTTTTAGCTTTTCTTCATTTTTTTGCAAAAGTTTTTTTGCCACATTAGAAATGCTTAATTGAATTTCATTTTTTTTGCATGTAATTTTGGCAAGCTGTAAGTTTCCTTGGAGAAAGAAAATCCAAGTGATTGCTGCTCAGATTAGCAAATTAGGAACCCGAATAGTGCTTCCGACAAAAAAGAACCTACCATTGAAAAATCCTGGTCAGTGCCAGCTATCCAACAACTGCATATCTATCATGTCTCACTTGCGAGCAAAAATTTCCCATTACAGCCAGTGGAGGGAGTCTGATAAGAAATAATGAGCGCTAATCACTCATATTATTTCTTTTCAAAGAATACTGAAAAATTTGTCTTTTTAATAAAATGATTCAGATGCAAATCAAATTTTTAATAATAATAAAAAAATGATAATAATTTTGGACGTTCTTCAAAGAGTGGCAGTGGCAATTACTTAACAAAGTAGGAGAAAAATTGTTCCTGGAGAATTTAAATTTTCAAATTTCCATATCTAAACAATTTCAAGGCATCACTTAAAAATTTTTGAAGTTTTTGATGCACCTTATTATATGTCGTAAATATGCTGGATAATTTATTATTAAGAGATTCTTGATATTTTGTTGATTTATATATTTAATATACCCTTAAATATTTTTACGAAAAATTAGTGAATCTTCACAGTTTATTTGCTCTTCAATTAGTTTTTTGGTATTCGATACATTTTTCTTCAAGAAAACGACCAATTATCTAAATGTTCTGCAATAAGTTATTGACCTAAAAATTTAATATTGGTTATCCTTACCAAATACCTAATAAATTTTTAAGTAGGTGCTGGGTGGATGGTGACTTAGATTCTCGTGTTGACGGGTTTTCTGATCCTTGAATATATCCATTCGAAAATTCGGATGATACTAGAGATCTCTCGTCATTCTTGAAAAAAACCTTATTCACATTTTATATTTGAATTTGAGGTATGTGTAATATAGAAACGAATGGATCACTACTGGAAAGATTTTGGACAATTGGTGTTGCTGGTACCGTGATTGCATTATTTGGTGTTATTTGCAATGCGATGCTAACAATAATTTTTCTAACTCGACGAATGTATCGCCATTCACCATTTTTCTTTCTTGGATTCGTTGCATTTTATGATACATTACTTGATTTCAATTATATCATTCTTCTGGTTATTGTTTTTCTTATTATTTTATTTATTCTTATTAATTTATTCGTTGTATCGATTAATGCAAATATTTTTAAATAATTATTTGATATGAAGTTGGTGGGGAAAAATTCTTGTTCTGATTCAGTTTTTGCTTATACAAAATTCTTTTTCAATAAGAATTCAATAAGAATTAGGTAAAAAATAAGAAGATATTGCTAAATAGATATATCAATTTATAATAATTTTTATACTGGAATATTCGATATTATTGATTATTGAATGTTAAAGTGAATTTTTAGGTAAAATTTCGAGATTAAACGTTAATGCTAAATGAAATATTTATATTCCCACATGAAAGATTTCCTTTACTTCAATACACTTAGTTAGAATAATTAATATTTATTTGTTAAAGTAGTAAGTAAATACTTCATGTCAGCGCTGATGCTAAAGTTTTACTTCCTTCAGGAATGAACTTGTTATCTAATCGACATGAAATATTTATAAACTAAGAAAATAAAAATTCACTTAAAAATCAAAAAATTAGGAAAAAAATTTGCGAATTTCTTGAAGTGTTTAGAATATTAAATATTGGAATATTATATTAAAAAAGCAAGATAAATTGCTAGAAACTGCATTCAAATCAAAAACTATGAAATATAAATTGAGAAATAATTAAATTTTTTTACAGTCGATGCCAACAATTGCTGAATATTTTGACAATATTACTGTATATAATATTTGGGCGAGGTATATGAAACTTCTATATCTATTAGAACAAATCTTCAAAATTTCTTCAGTATTTTGTTTAATTGTCGCTTCATTTGAACGATTTCGTATAACACGACACTGGACATTTACTGGATTTGGTGTACGAACTCGTTGGATTATACTCTTTTTTATACTCTTTTTTGCTGTCGTTTTCAAAATTTTCACAGTCTCAGTAAGTTTTTTAACGACTATATTTTATATATGCATACATATATAAAATAAAAATTTAAAAATTAAGAAACAAGTTCGATTGTTATAATTTGCAAAAGAAATCCACGTCTCGCTATTTTCTATAATTAGAAAAAAGATTTTTTCTAAATCCATTTTAAAAATATTTTATATTCAACTTTATATATAATTTGAAATATTTGAAATTTTTTAAAAAAATAATCGAAAGAATTTGGTGATTTTTTGTGATTTACCAGATCATGGCAAATTTGCCATTTTTTTTTCCGTAAAACTTACGGAATTTCTAGTTAATAGCAATTCACATAGAATCTCTTTATCATAGATCGTTCTTTTGAAATATAGAACCATTTATAATCCACATTTATAATCCTTTGACTTAAGATCTGCATAAATATATGGATTACATCGAAATCACTTAAAAACTAATGGTCTGAACCTGCTCATGCGATATTTCAACTATCTTAAAATTAAAATTAATACAGTAGGATAAATTCATATTGAATTTAAACAATTGTAATGAAATGGTGACTATAGAGCTTCATTTTATTTAGTCTCAACGGGTTTATAGATTTGTTAGTATTAGACCATTGTTTCTAATATATATAAAAATAATATAACTTATTTTTTTATAGCTTATTGAATTTAGAGGAATTATTTGAAGCAAAATTTGATGAATTACTTAAAAATAAGAGGACACATAATTGTTCTAAAAAGCGACATAAAGTACTTTTTTAGTCTATAATAATCCAATTCTATATTCTAAAATATTAAAAATAAAAAATGTTTCCATTTAATAAATTTTTTTGCTATAGTAATAAATTTTTACATATTTTTTTTTAAAAATATCTTCCCAAATTTTTATTCAATGATTCATTAATGATCGAAAAGATGAATGATTAATTTAATAAACTGAGGAGATACTCTTATCTTTTTCATAATTTGTAACTGATGATGGTTCATCAAATAATTTTTTGCTATACTAACATTTCTAGTATTCACAGAAAGTAAAGCGTAATGAAGGAAAGTTTAACGAAGAAAGAAAAAAATTTTTGACTTATTCGATATTAAATTGGTGTAATTTCATTTTTTTAAATTTGTGGAAATATTTGTTTGAATTTTTTGACAGCGAGTTGATATACTTGTAAATTAAGGATGCAAAGAAAGTTTTAAGTATCCAAAAAAGTCATCCATTTCCTTTAAGCACCTTTTTAACCAAAAAAATTCGTGAATCTTAAAGAATCAATCAAAAAATTCCAACATCTTTCATCAAAAATTTTCTTCAACTTCTTTAAGGATTTTTTTTAAATTGAAAATTATTTTCCACTAAAATTTACAAAATATCACAGTTCTGCGATAATAAATATCGGATTTTTTCAAAGTGCCAGTAATTATAGATGCCAATTATGCAGAAGAGAAATTCAGTGGAAAAGTCAATGTTTATCTTCATAATTTCACAATTTTTTTCAAAAAATTTAATCTTCTTTGCCATTTCTATATATCATAAAAAATCATAAAATATCCAATTATAGAAGATTGTAGAAAAAATTTATTTAGAAATTTGAAAAGATTTGAGAAAAAATCATTGCATGTGAAAGAATAGAAAAATCAGTCCAGGAAAAAGAACTGAAGAAGAAAATTATGTTAAATTCTTTCGAGAATTCTATGTGCTAATAAATATCTGAATTATAGTCCACAAAATCAGTCGTCACTCTATTATAGTTATTTCTTGATGGAAGTGAATTTGGGTTTCATCATCCATTACCTTCTATTTTTAATGTAAAAAAATTTTACAGAAAATCTTATTTCATAAAGCAAATAAATATATAAAACTATTCTTAGTAAATAAATTGATATTTTTTTTAAAAAATATGAAATAAAATTAAGAGGAAATTACATTAATAGAATTATTAAATTCGGAAACTCAAAAAATAAAATTTTTTCGACCAAAATTATTTTCTTCGTCTTTTAATTGCAAACATTTATGGTTTGATTGTTCCCACTAATAGGCTTTCGTTAAGGAATTACTTGATAACAGAGGTAAGTGGATCCTCAGGACCACTGAGATTTTATTCTTAGTGACAGGTTTATTCCTACCCAACCATCCATCCATTCTTTGAATTAATTCTTCTTCATCTTCTAACAGCTCTCACCATTACTGGCTGGCCACAAAGGTAAGACGTCTCCAAGCTGCTCGGACCGACGCCATCGCTAGTAATAGCAATTCCTTTTTCCATCGTCTAATTTCATATATTACTGGTTCACCTATATTTTCAAATCTATAAATCTTTTCTGACTGAATCAGTCCAGGTCTTGATTGGCCCTCTTCGCTTTTGACGCCAATCATTACAGAGATAACTAGCCAAATATGCATCCAACTTCTGTGGTGTCGGACGAAGAACGTGTCCTAACCAGCGAAGGCGACGTTCTGTGATAACATTATCAATACAAGTGGTATTTGAGCGAAGATGAATACAATTATGTGCGATTTTGTCCGCTCGACGGATCCGTAAAATGTATTTTAGACTTTAGTGGTCAAAGGTTGATAGCTTCTTAATATTTTCCACTCTCATTGGCCATCTTTCGCAGCAATATAGTAAAATCATGCGAATTGCTGCTATATGGACACGAATTTTTGTCTTCAAGGTGATTTCGCAACGCTTCCATAGAGATTTTATTAATCTGAAAAACACATTATAGTTATTCGGGTTACAATTTCATCCTTTGTCTGGCCATTCGGAATTAGAGTGGATCCAAGGTATTTCAAGACAAACACTTCCTCAACCGGCAATGAATTGATAAAAATAGATATTTTATCGGCATCTTGTATATAAGACGAAACGGGTGGTTCTAGCGGCTCACATGTATTTCTATCGCCAAGACATATTGCCCAATGTGACAAGCCGGTGGAGCGAGTTTAACCAGTAATGGTGAGGATTCTTTAAAAGGTAAAAGGAAAACAATTTCGTTTTATTTGCATTGATTCATTGATTTTGAGCCCAACTCTCGCTGTTATTACATTATTACAGTTGTTAATACATTATTTAACATTATTTGCATTCTTATAACTGGACTACAGAAATACAGGCTTATTATGCTATGATACTATGCACTGGACTGATTTGGACACTTCTTGAGTGCCGATAAGCGGTGCCCATTATCCAGTCTATCGCATGTTGAATATTGTAGGGGAAAGGAGCCCAGTTCTTATTTCGAAGGAGTCTGTCACATATATTAAAATGATTTTATAAACCGAATGATCTTCTCTGGGACACCGTCACATGCTATCACTTTCCACAGAGTTGCTCTATCAAGCGAATCGAAGGCACCTGCAAAATTGATAAAGCAAGTGACAGTGGATTGCTGGTATTTGAAGTACCCTTCTTAGCGCAAATATCTGGTCAACGCAACCGCTTCCCGGTCTGAATCCACCTTGAATACGATGCATTCTGCTATCTCATGTTGTCATGTGTCTATTTAGGAGAAGAGAAGCGAAAATTTTTCCGGCGAAATGTGTCCAGTAGGCTGTTTCCTCGGCAATGGCAGTACGCAGTACGTCCTTGAATTAATGGTTGTTTAGAATTAAATTAAAATCATTCGTTGAACAGCATGTTCTTCAATTTCTTCAACTTTTTTATTTATTATAATTAAAAAATTTTCTCAATTAAATTGATTTATTCCATTTCTTTCATTGTTTCATCTTCTGTAATAACTTTAAAAATAAATTCAAAATTATTACATTTAAGATTTTCATCCAGAATTGGAGTAAATAATTTATCTTTCATTTGATACCTTAGTTTTGAGGAGATCACCTATTCATTTTCTTATAAATAGCAACAACTGTTTTCATTTTCTTCACATTTCCATAAAGAACAATTATTAATGGAAATTCGTTAATTTTTAACTTTTAAAATTTTTTATAATTAAAACTATCTATACTGTGATATGATACTGTGATTTTATGACCAACGATGACTAAGGGGCACCGAAAAAAGTCAAAATCCAGGTTATGTTCGTAATATTTGAGTGAAAATTATCCTACAACATTAATATCAATATTTTAGGGTGTTATAACGCTTTCTTCAACAGAATGCGATAAATTTCAACGATTTCGTCTCGCGAAACTTAGTGAAAGCGTATTTCTCTCCGGAATATTTAATATTACATCAATATTTGTACCATTTTTTACATTAATTTTTTTTAATGGAGCCATTGTAATGATGTTAAGGAAGCAACATATACAGGCTGGTTTTCTGGTTTTTTCCTTCGTTAAAAAGAGGATTACAAATTTTTTCTATTCAGATAAAATAATTAATAATAAAAATAAAATTGAAATATTGCTTATCCTGGAATTAAGAATATAACAAAATTCCGTATTAATTCCGATGTTAACTAGCGATGTTGAATCGCTAAGTGCATGAATTCAATTGCTGTCCTTTTGACTGAAGTGCAACTTGTCTTTAATAATGAAATTTCGACCCTGCTGTAGCTTTTTCTTTTCCAAGAATGCTCAATATTTCTGATTAGACTCCCTTGGATCAGAAAATTTTGCAATAGAGTCACTGGCCATTAACCAAAGAGACACCAACACCACTCGAATTTTTGCAAGGTGGGTTTATTCTGGCCAGTAATAGAACTAAAATTCCAGCACTTGCATTCTGAAATAAGAACAACAATTCATTGAATCATTCTATCTCTATACGCTTGTCTGTGATTTAATTACTATAATTAATAATAATAGCAGTAATCAGTTAAATCCATTTTTCCAAACTCAACAGTAATATTAATATTTAGCAACTTCGATCACTTATAACCGAATTTACAATGGGAACAGATGTAATGAAAATGCGAAGGCGTAATTTAAGATCTGCGACGAACACATTAATAATTATTATCACGGCATATCTCATAAGCAATCTGCTAGGTTTAATACTTATTTTGATCGATTTCTTCTGTCCAGGTAATGTATACCACTAACCTGCTTATACGAAATTGAGTCATTTTGATTTTTCACCATCTTTCGTTGCAGTC